ATTCAGGGGTATATTGTATGCGGGTGGATTTTATAGGCAAACCTCATAAATGGTGAATGTTCTGGACCAAGTTCAAATGCATAGCCGTATATCAAAGACAATAAGATCTGGATTAGTCCAAAGTGCCATGTACACTTCTGTAGTTTCATATTCAATAACATCCACTATTTCAAAAATATTAATCTCTTTTTTGGTAGATATAATATATCTACGAAATAGATATGCTATTCTTCCTTTCTCTGCTATATTCTTTCCATCTTCTTTCATACTTAATACATTCAGTATATATATTACCAGGTATCCCATAGTCTGAATATCGACACCATTGTGCCTTTCTGATTTCTCTTTTTTGAGTCGGCGAGTTGTGTTCGTCTGAAAGACTGTAAAATGTTGAGTTGCTGTATCCTGGGTATGCGTCCGCACATAAAATGTCCATTGCAAAAAACTATTAAATTTCTCTGGAGATGAAAATATGATCAGAAATTTAAATCGATTTATTAAAAGCCATCGCAGTTGTTCCTTCAAGTGATTCCAGGAGTTGTTTTGCGAGAGATTGGGCAGCCGAAGGACCTCCAACTATGGCTGGAACATGTGTTGCCATACAAAACTTTTGTGCAGGAACAGCGAAAAGGTTTCCAATGAGAGTTGTGAGCCAGTTATGAGGGATTCGACGAGGCACAGTGGTTCGAGTATTACACAAAATAGTAAAGGAAAGAAACATTTACCTGGCGTGAATATAAAAATAAAAATTGTATACAGAGAAACGATCTTCTAGTAAATTAACGCCCTCAAGCCCCCTAAAGTTCTCACCAGGCTTTGTCCAATTTTTCACAGTTCTTTCCACTGTACCCCTGTACCCATTAGCATTGACAGTCATCTTTTGGACCAAACTCGGGTAAAACAAAATTTACTATGTACACTTAATGTCTAGACAAAGCCTCCAATTACCTTATCCGATTACACGAAGATTTGCCCCCACGAAGTGTTGGACGTTGACTACCTCCCCCTCATCCGGAAACCTCCAATCCCATCCCAAGCCAGGAGCACAAGCCATTGCTTATGAAAACCCTTGACCCGGCATGCCCGAAAACTCTTCTTCCGAGAGAAATCTTCATATTACTGTTGTCCCTTTTTTATTCGGAGCGGAAAATGTTGAAATCATTTTTGGGCTAAAGAAACATTCTCACACTTTCGACAAGCACTGGGAAAGGAGTAAAAGGCACTTAAGTGCCTCTACCCTTGGTCCAGGACTCGGGTTTTTAATTGAAGTGCAGTCGACAGTCCTTCTGTGTATCCTTCTGGGTGTGTGTGTGTCTCGTTTTTCAAGCAGGTGTAAAGTTAAATCATAAAATGAAATTAAAATAAACCAAAGCTGAAACGTAATGAAGTACGGCAACACTCCACAACATTCTAAAAGAGAGGAAAAAAAACAAAAAAAGGATTAAACCCTGGCTAACTCGTCATCCCAAAGGGTTTCCGGTTTCTTCCCCTGATGCCCATAATTAGCTGCAAGTTGGCTAAACAAATTTTTGGAGAAATTTTTCTACAATTTTTGTTTTTACCTTTTTTTGTGCCACATTTTTTTTGTGTTTTTTTTTGGGAACGCAACATTTTGTTATTGAAAAATTCATAAGCAATGGACTGCGGTCCGCACAAGGGGCAGGATTTTGCCGAATACTGCAGGGGCGTGCCACATGTCATATACCCCCTTTTAGCAAAAAAAATTAGATGAAAATGTACAGCCACGCCTACTTAACTAACGAAAAACAGTGACGTGTTAAGGGATTGAGGGTTTTAATGTTGCTATAAAACTATTTTTTTAATGTTAGGTAGTATTTTGTGCTAAGGAATTGATCAATATATCAGTGTATAAATATATTTTGAGCCCTTGAGCCCTTTCTAAATCTACGCCCCTGCCCAGAAGTCACGAAACCATTTTTGTCATATTACAATATAATTTATTAAAATTCTTATTTACAAAGCAAAGGACAGAAGCACGAAGAAGTCAAGAGAGGAAGTGAAATGAGTGGAAAAGAAGCAAAAAAAAGAGATAGTTAAAAAAAATAGAGGGGAAAAAATATAAAAAAGAGATACAGGGCTCGCCTCCTGGTGTCCTCTCATACTATTAAAACAAAAGCGACTCGTTAGTGTTGAATTTTTAATCAAAAAGCCGCACATGATACTCTTTGTATGTTGAAAAGCAAATTACAATATTCCTTCTATAATTTGCTATAATGAGGCACATTTTTCGCTCTTTTTGTGCGCCGTGGAGTGTAATTGCATTGGGTGGATGGGATGGACCCTTCAAATAGATAGAGACCCCTGGACAAGCCTACATTCTTGAGCTTGCCTTCACATATTCACATTTGCATATGGAAAACGCAATCAAAACGCCAGCGAGTCAACAAAAGCGCTAAGTAAACTCAAACAAAATGGTCAGTAGCCCCCGCCGGGTGGGGCGGGTGTAGGAAAGCCCACCTGAATATCCCAACATTTCATTTGGATGGCGACGCATTTGTTTGAACTTTGACCAAATGCACACGCCCCCTGAGCAACAAACACACGTATGTACAGTCGCGTACATGCACGTATGCATACACATCCGCCGTCATTTAGTTCCGTTATTTCGTGTTTGCTTTTGTGGTTACGCCTCCGGAATCGTTTGACCAAAGGCGTCGGGGCGGGGCGGGTCAGGTCAGCGACAACAACTGCCGGCTCAGCAAATTACAAATGTTGCCCAGATCTTTGATGGAAATTGGGATAATAGAAGCAAAAAGATTGTGGGGAGTTGGGGAGATCAGGAGACGGCTAAAAGTAAAACTTGGAAATAGTCTTGAATTATATATTTGATTTCGATTTTATTTTAAAGTTCAATAGAGGCTCATCTCATTCATTTAATTCATATTCAATTCATGTTTTCAATGAACGATTATTCACAAAGAGAAAATAAACTAAAACCAATTCCTACCTCCCTAACCAACCCCACCCCATCCCAATCCAACTAATTCCGAATTAACAATTTCTTTTCCAATTGTTTCTTCCAATCCACAGCACAACAATCTCCCCCGCACCAGCACAACCCTGCAGAATCTTTCAAGTTCCAAGAAAATTAGCTAAGCAAATGATGCAGAGAAGGAAAACCAAATGCCAGGCGCAGGCAATTAAAGGACCACCTCCCACTCCACACTGCTGGGGGGCTGAGAGGCAGAGGCAACCAAGCAAACGGAAAATTCATTACAAACAAATTAACAAATAAATCAAATTTCAATACGAAAATTTGTTTGCGAAAACAATTTTGAGACGGGTTTTTGGTAACTTCTGATGGGGTCTGTCTTCGCGTATTGGATGAGGGGCTGAATGAGGATGGGGAATATATCCGTATAAATCGCATGCCACGCCCCAACGCGGACCAAGGGCAAAGGAGGAAGGTCTTTCCATCACCAGGCCACTGGTTGACTGACAGGCGGCAAATCGTCTGAAGCGCACTTGAGAAATCATTTATCTAAATTAATTCCTGTCGTTTACATTTGCCAGAAACAAAGCGACGGCAGAGGCGGGATATAGAGTAGATGAGCGGGGGAACATTTTTGGCGGGGAGAGGGGTAGGAAAACAAAAATCAAAGATTAAGACAAACATTTACTACTTTTTAACCCACCACCACGAGGCTGGGAAATCCCGAGGATAAACTGACAATTGCCTGGAAGCTAGACACAGTCACGCCTTACCCATCGTCCCACTCTCAGCCCATGCCGGTTCCATTCAGAAGCAACCTTCTTCTGTGCTCCTGATAAATGACATGGCTGCGCATTTGTTGGATCAACATTCTGTCGACATCGCGTTAATAACTCATTTCAAAAATTCCTGGCCCAAGTCTAACCGACATCGACATACGTAACACACGAAATCAGTAGCCAAAAAAATATGTGAAATAACATTAGAGCGGATATTGAGACTAAGGAGATACCCGCTATTTAGATTTTAAGTATATCTTTAGAGAATAGATAATTTAGAGAAAATATTTGGAAGCTATAGCTACGTGTACATTACGCTAACAAATAAGAGATATTTATGATCTGTGAAATTATAGACACAACAGCCATGAGTTGCCGGAACAGAGATTTATGTGGATTGGTTCGTCTCCTGATCTTTGGGATTTCAAAGACCACTGATTTAAATCAAGAATATATGTATAGCTTTTGTGCTTGGACATGCTCTCTTATATATATAGTTTATTTCTTAATGATTACGGCATACCCTGGCACTCTTCGTTTAAGAGGTATAGACAGAATTACAATTAAAATGGTTCTTAGACTAAAATCGCAACATTTTCAACCCTTTCGGTACACCCTGCTTCACCCCCCTTAGCCGTGCACCATGGGTGGTCTGGCGTCTGAGGAAAAGTTTTGTTAATGAAATCGCGAGGCAAACGCAAGCGGCTAAAACGTACGCGGTTTTTGACGCTAAGCTTTGACTGACAAAAGCACAAAATCAGAGAGAGAGAGAGAGAGAGAGAAATGGAGCTGGAGAGAGTTACAGCCGTTACAGTTAAACATAGACAGTTAGAAAGAGAGAGAGTGTAAATTGTTGTGGCAATAATTGGTTCTGTCAAAAGCAGCAATTATTAAATCCAACAGCAAATGCCTACTATAGCCGCACTCTACAATAAATGATATATCAAATGGAAATCAGTATTATCATGAATTCCATTTGCATGCCGAAAATTATATAACAATATGACCAGGTCACGCAAAGGCTTTACAAATTTTTTACATAAGCAAAAGCTGTAAGAGGGTTCATTGCAAGGGATCACAATGATCGCTGTAGCGGTAAAAAATCTTCTGACCTTTACAGGACAATTCAGACTATATATTAAAATTTGTCTAGAGTTCCCAAAAATATGGGAATTTATACGTATAATTTTAACAAAACAAAATTGTGAATAAGACCCTCAGCATCTCAGATAATTTTCAATTAATTTATTTATTTGTTTATCATTTAAAAATAAATCTATTTCTTACATAAATGGAAATTTCCCATAGTTATCCTCATTTCGTGTATTTTTTTTAGTTTTTAGGAACTTTATGACCACAAAATATTAACCACTATAGGTAAATATTATTATTTGGCATTAATAGACTCTGTTTAACTGGCAAAATAACATTAACTAGTTCAGCACTCGATTTTCTGCACTATTATCAAGCTAAGATAAAAAATATTTCACTAAAGCACAAAGGACCCTCTAATTCAGGCCCTTGAGCAGCTTCTGATGTGGGGTCTCAATCATAACATTGTTCACAAATTCTGGTGACTTGCGAGCATAAGCAACCACAAGCTTGTATGGGGATATAAACTTCTGATCCTGATCGTTATCTTGATCGCTCTGCTGGAGGTTCATGGAGATGACAATCTGTATGAAATCATCCAGGAAATCTTCATGCAGAGCCGCTGGCATGCGTTCCAGGAAAGGACAAATGGCCTTGACATTATCTAAAAATAAAAATTAATTCAGTTAAAAACTTCTTGCAGCTAAACGCTGTTAGCACACACACCTTTCAAGGTCCTGACACCCTCGTAGACGAAAACCTCGCTGCGAATCTCCACATTATGCTGTATGAAACCCACTTCGTTGAGCAGCTGACTGAACTCCTCGCCAGGATTGGTGCTATAGTGCAGCGGGGAGATGAATTGCTCGACATCCTGCATATAGCCCGACCACTTCGCATTCAATCGAAGTATTTTGTACACCTCATACACGGGATTGGAGGCGAGGAAAACCAGCAGGCAATCACCACCTTCGGGTCTCAATATGTCGTAAATATTGCCCAAGGCACCGCGTAGATTCTGCACCCAGTGGAGGCAGTAGAACGAGGTAACATGATCGAATCTTCCGCTCAACTCCTGCGGCAGTCGTTCACAGCCGATATCCAGCACTCGGAACTGTGTCCGCTCCTCCCGCTGGTAGTGCTTACTGGCGAAGCCCACCATTTGGCTGGAGATATCAGTGCCCACCAATTGGGCACCTTGCGGCATCAGTGGCTTCACAAAGTCCATCAGCACATTACCCGATCCAGAGCCCACATCAAGGAGCGCGTCCTCTCCGTCCGATCGCCACTGCAGCGTCGAGGCGAACTCCTCAAGGATCAGCTTCGCATCGTGGCGCTGCACCTGGTTGGCGTTCTGATAGAGTGAGGCCTGATTCATTGCGGCGACTGATGGGTGAGTGCATCCCAACCATAGCTTTATATACGTTCTGGTGACGTCAACAAATCTCTCACGGGCTCTCATTTTTTTCCGCTCTGCCTCTGTCATAGCTTATGACGTCGAAGGTGTTTTTCGTTTCATGCATTTATTTTTAAAGCTTTGTAATTCCATTGGTTCCGGAGAGGAAGAGTACGATTTCAAAACGTAGAAAGAGAGAGAGAGAGAGATCCAGATCACTCACTCTGTGTGCTCAACTACACTAGACAGCAAAGTGTTTAGATCTCGACAAACAATTAAATGAATTTAGTGAATTTATTAATAAATTTCGTATATTTAAAGATGGAATAGAAATAATTTTATTATATTATTTATTAATGATATATTAAAATATTTATGTGAAAAAAGTCCTAAAAGTTTAGTTTCTCAGTTTATTTTATATGCCTAAAAATCCTTATAATTTCGTTTGACAAATTCAAACATTTTTAAATATTTTTACCCTTCAGATAGTAATTACACTATCGCTGAAATCATTCTTGAATAAATTCGCAAACTTCCCCTTTGCTCTCTGTTCAAGCACGCGACTGTTCATGATCGAAACAGAAAAGAACAAAACCCGAAAAGGCCTCGAGTGCGCTTTGTCTCCACACATCCAATGTAGGAAACTCAAGTTCGAGGTCAATATCGCTTAGCTAATGCTTCCTTCATAGAATTACGCCTCGAATACGTAACCCAGTCATAGAAGCCCATAGAAATGTAAATCCCAAGTGAACTTGGGCAGGCCTCTGGAAGTGAATTCCTCATAATATTATCATAATTTTCATGAGCAGTGTAAAACCAGCCTCCATTTAGCCTCCAGCCTCAACAATCGCACAGATCGAACAGCACAACAACAAAAAGAGTTTCCCCCAAAAAAAAAAAAAACCGAACAAAAATCATAATTTTTGGATGAACCCCAAAGTGCAGAAGGGAAATATTTTTGGAGTACAATGATCTTAAGATTGGGGGAATACGCAAGAAGTGAAGTTAGTTCAATGACCTACCCCAAGAACGATTAAAAATAAGTCACTCTATTTCGGTCCATACTTCAACGAAGATAATTAATGCAACTAGGAATAGAAGTGGTTCTTAGACACTACAAATAAGTAGGTGTAAAACATGTGGAAATATGAAAAGGTACAGGCATGGGACTCCCCATGCGAATTGAGTTGGTTCTCAGTCGAATCAGAGCTTGCACCCTTCTGTTGGCACTCTCAGTGAATATAAATTCATTAAAAACATTCCATTTAGCTGCAAATTACATTTGTGTAATTGCTCCAAGGCCCAAAGGAAGCAGAGCAAAAGGTTATGATATTTCAAATATTTCACATATGAGCATAACGAACGTTTGATGTCCCCTGATACGAGTATGTGTATGCATGTATGTATGTACACTCCCATCACAGCACATGACATCCCATCACATCCATACGTATAAATTCATTTGCCAAAAGTGACATCAAAAGCTGAACGACTGCCTCGGAGTAGAGCGCTCTCCTGGTTTCCGTTTCTGGTTTAATGTGTGTGGGCGTTACGGCTGGTTAATTGCATTTGTCGCAGACTCATTTCGGCCAGGCCAGGCCAGGCAGCTCCCAGAGCAAAAAGGGTTCTAGGGCTAGGGTTATTCCGGCCTGCAATTACCGAAAGCTGTCGATTGGCTCGAGCTGTCACAGAGACACAGAAATCAATTAAAGCGAACGAACCCAACCGAAACGAAACGAAGCCAACGTCTGAGAGCTGAGCATTGAGCTGAGGATTTGGTTGAGTGTTGGGTGTTAGGTTTGGGGGTAAAAATTATTTATTTTGGTATTGTATTTATGGGGCATAAATCAATTATGGATATAGATTTTTGGCATGTGTGTAGGAATTAGGGATGTTGAAATGAACTTCGATTGTGGCCTGTCCCAGCATCGATTTATGTACAAAGCTGTGTTTGTACATATGTATATCTTTGCGAGTGTTTCTCAATGAATGAGTATTTGTTCCTCGAATATCTTTCGGTAATTCCATCTGCTTTTGCAATCCAAATTACTATAATATGGTTTCTATTTGAATATTATTCACCTGGTAAGGCCTTGTGGGGATGTCCAACTTTGCGTGTCCGAGTGGTCTTCGATAGACGAAGTGTGTCCGCAATATGCAGATTTGTCGTTGATTCTACTTTCACTTGCGGCCACTTACTACGACGTTCCGTCGTAGCTGTCGGAATGGGACATATTTGACAGGGTTGTGAAGTTGTGACACCTTTGGGTATCGCCTTCAGCATCAGTATTTCTCTGTACTTTCTTTCTTTCTTTCCCACTTACTGCAAAAAATCCAGCCTTTTTCCGACACCAACCTCCTTCTTCACTGGGCTGTTATAGGATGCTCCTTCTCTTTCATCACGCTTCACATCGCTAACACGGGGGACATGGGCAGATTAAACAAACTGAGGACCGAACATTCAGTGAAGGAATGAACATGGGTTAAAGCCCAAGGTGCCTCGTTACTCTACGTGAACCATTGGCTAGAGAAGATTACAAATTTTTTATTCACATTCAAAGAAAACCAAAATCAAATCCAAATTTCCAAAATAATTGAAGTTCAGTTCTCTAGCCCAAAATATCAACAATTCATCTCTAGGTTTTCTTATCCATTTCGTCTGTTCTTTCAGTACGTACTCTAATACCCTCTGACGCCTTAGCCAAATAAGGAACTCCCTCTTCTTCATCCAACCCTCTTGCAGTTGCGCAAACAATCGAAGGGAGCAACCAAAAAGCCAAAGCAAACAGATTCCCATAGTTTTATGTGATTTCTAATGGATTCACGCACACTTGGACCCAACCCAAGCCATCACAGGAACCACCCCACGACATCTCCTTCCCTTGGAAATCATTCGCAATGAATCTCCTTCCCTTGGAAATCATTCTCACACACTTGAAAACTATTTAAAGTTTATCTAACTGAACAGTATATGTACACATGTTCTATATAGAAGCCTGTTCTGGCTATTTGTCTGTCCAAAACGAAGAGGTGGAACGGATGGTGCGGGTGGGTTGGGATGGGTGATACAACAAAAACTTTGGCATATGTTGAAATAACAAAATAACAAACAAAACAAGAATATCCCAGAAACGGGTAGAAGGGGGTAAAAGGGTTGAGATTGAGATTCAGTTCAGTTCTGTTCTGTTCTTGGGGTTTTCATAGTGGGGAAATGAGTTTTTAATGTCCCAAAGGGGAATACTGCGAGTGCACCACATGCAAAGACGGGGCGAAGTGGCAGGGCTATGCAGATTTAAAATACAAAGTAAACGCCGATTTGTTGTTATTGATTAGAGCAGACAGGAGCTGGAGGTGAGGGCGGTCCTGGTCTCGGACGCAGTCCCAGACAAACATATGAGCACATGCTTGGCTTCATCATCTTCAAACCCTCCATCTTAGAGGCGATACGAGTACATCCCAAGACGACGACGACGACGGCGAACGAGCAGGAGGATGCCGCAAACTTGATGAGTATTTAAAAGTTTTCCATTGTGTGTTTGATGAATATTTAATTAAGCATAAAAGGAGCACAGCTCTGCTCTCCCTCTCCCATCCCTTTTGCTGCTTAAGGAAAAACTTCGGCAAAGGGTTGCTTCTGTTGCTTCTGTTGCGTTTTGTTTTTCATTTCCCCCCAAAAAACATCGTTTTTGCTTGCTGCTTTCCTTGCCCCTTCCCATATGCCGCATCGTGTGGCGAGGCCAGCTTAGGCCACGCAAAAGAATAAAACAAAATCAATTAACGCTTCGTGCTTCCGTTTTTGCCTTTCAGCTGGTTTCTCTTTGCGTGTACTCTTTCTCTGCGGCAGGGGTACTCACGGCCAACTATGAAGCTTGAATTGTTGATCAAAATTAACTATCTTTTGGCATTTATCTAGTTTCTTGACTCAGCATATCAATGGATCTGCTCAATTTAAATAGATTTGGGCAACATTTTTATCTAGTAGTTGCTTTCCATATACACTGCTTTTAATTTTAATTTCTGTTCCCTCTAAGCCTAAGGACTGCATCCTTTCAGAAGCTATCCTTAGCAAAGATTCTAAGATTTTTGTAAAGAATATTTTGCAAAAAATAAGTAATTTGTAAATCAAATAGAAGAGTATTAAATGCCTTTATGCGTACTCTAACAAATATTCATAAGTCATTTGCTAACATCTTATTTTTCTTAGAGTACCCAAACTTCTTTCAACATCCGCTTTGCTTTGCTCCCCCCTCCCTGTACAATTTGTTTGTATTATTTTTATTATATAAGTATTTTACAAGTTGTAGGCAAAAGGCTGGGGCTCAAAAGAGCAGCGAAAATAATTAAATAGTAAAAGGCTAAGGCAGCGTGCCGCCAAAAGAGCTCTCTCCCCAGCAACCTATACCGCCGCCCAACTCTAAACCCCAATCCCGAACCCACTCAACCCTTTGTGCCACTTTTCTTATATACTTTTTTTTGGGAAAGAACTTCCTTTACTCATTTTGTTTTCACCGTAGTAAAGGGGGCAAAAAGAAGCCCACAAATAGCCAAAAGCTAGCGAGTGTTGATGGCAGCAGCAAAATACATTCCATTCCATCCTTCTCCTTCAGAACTCGCCCAGTGCCACGCCTCCTTTTTTTATATATGCATATATTCCTTCTTATATTAATTTGTTTTTCTTTTTTCTGTTGTTTCATTTTTTGTCGATTTTTGCGGGCGTTGGGAAAATTAATTAAAAATTAAATGAATGAACGAACGCTGGGGATAATGAGCCCCTAAGCTGATTTTGCGCTTAAAAGTATGCAATGGGAAAAAATTGTCGAGCTGCCGGAGCACACGGCATTCAATAGCATCGCCACCGATTCTGCCACGCCCATCCAGGTATAGCAGGTATCCCACCACCACCCCCGAACACACACACACACACCAACAAAGAAACGAAAAACTTGCAATTTTTTGTCGCATTTTTTGTGTTGGTTTGTTTG